ATTTGTCGGAACGCCCGATATCGGACCACTTTTTCATATAGCTGCCATACAAACAGAACAATCGGAATCAAGTACTTGTATGGGAAACTTTTTATTTGACGAGGGATACTCACGAAATTTGGCATGTGCTATCTTCTGAGGCAACAATGTATTCTCCGAAGAAATAGTTCAGATCAGATCAGTATATCATATAGCTGCAATACAAATTGAATGATTGGAATCAAGTTCTTGTAAGGGGCCGTTGTGTTTGTGAAGGGTATTATAGCTTTGGTGCAACCAAAGTTAACGTTTTTTTTTCTTTTTTTATTCAATACGGAAATATGTATAATACTGAATATTATATTTGTAGAAATTTGTGGAAAGTTGAACTGCTCAAACAATTTTTCTTTAGAAGCGATTCGTTTGGTATAAATGTATTGATTGAGACCGTATCACAAACAATCCACTAAACGATTTAGAGGATGCACTTTTTCATATTACTTTAATAGAAGGTTACTTAAGATATCTTCTTTTGTTTAATAAAATTGAATGACATCGTAATCAGGTGCAAATTGGAAAAATAATATTCAATCACATTTATTTCTTACCTCAGGTGTTGTGTTATTTAAGAAAGAGTGTGTTTATATAGAAGTATTTACCAATTTTATGAGCCATCATTTTTCCTGCTAAATATAATCAAAAAAGGTTATAAAAGTGTATACCAAAAGATATAACATACAACATCTCCATAAAATCGGCTAAACATCTTTTGTACACTTTCGTAATTTATTCTTAATTTAGTGTATATTGGTAAGAGGTTCACTGTTACTTATACTTTCAACAATTTACCTTCTTCTTATATATTTCTAAGAATAAGTATATGTGACGTTTTAACATTAAAAAGGCAAAGATGGGACTTGCTTAATTTTTTGGCTTTGATGATATTTTGGAATTTGCTAAGAAAACATCAAGCGCGATTATCATTAGCACAAGAATTTTAAAATTTTTTTGACTTTTGAAAATGTGGTAAATTTTCTATAAAATAATAAAGTATTCTATTTCCGATTACATACTAAAATGATCAATCAATCATCAAATTCGGTGTAGAATTCATTGTCTTATTTAGACATGGGCATCATTCTCGTTTGCTAAAAGCCATTAATCATAAAATATCCGAATGACGCCAGTTATAAACAAGTTAAAATGTTTAATAAAAAATAAATAATTTGATATTTTTTAAATTGTCTATTCTATTGCACTAATATAATGTTTTTTTTCTGTTTCATTGCAGGTATGAAAAATGAATTTTCGCTAATAAATCGTAAGTTCAATTACTTATTTAGTGAACATGCTAAAATTTCAATAAATAATAGACAATGCTTAATGAAAATTTAATGCAACAAAGCAATAGAAAAGCTTAAGCATATATAAAAAAAAAATCTTCTATATCTAATATATACTTACACATACATACATTAAAAGGAAATATTTCTTCAAGGCGGGAAATTGTTACTTATACTCTTTTATGCTTATCGTTCTATGAAAGGCGAAAATTACATTTGTATACCAAGTATACTACAAAGGTATCAGCAGTTGAAAGTTTTATAAAAGAAAATTCTAAGATTACTCACATACAAAATATCCTTCTATACAAGAACACAGTTACTGCGGGGCAGATTCGGAGAGTTTCAACCATAGAAAATGGGTTTGTGACACATTGATGCGATCGATTGTGAACACGAACAGCATCCACTTTGCACATAGCTTTCGCATACCCAAATATTATTTTCATCATATCATTAGAGTGTCAGTTGTTTTGATTGATTTCATTTTACGGTCATGCAAAATTTTTTTTATTTTGGTTTGAAGTTCATCATATTCGGTGTTCATCTGACCTGTATGGCATACAAAATCACTTATGAGTGGTTGCTTTGCTTAGTACAGAGTTTAAACAATACCCATCACACCACATTTTCGTATCAGCAGTGCTTTTTCCATCATAAATAAAAATTCCTTTTTATCTACGTATGTTGTTCAAAAAAACTAAAACTTTCTTCACAAAGTAGTCTTCGGCGCACGAATACACGGATATTTTCAAGGTTGAGTCCAACTAACAAAATATATACTTATACATTCAGATGGATCCCTCTCATAAAAACGGTATAAACTTTTCAGCCCAGCTGATCGAAAATACATAGTTTTAAAGTATAATGTTTCATCAATCAGAACTGTTAAAAAAGCAAAACCAAATAAATTTAATAACAATTTACTACAGCTTTTGTTCAACCTACCTTTAACTAACTTTTGTTTATAAAGAGCAGCCAACTACGCTCGTGAGTCACATGATCAATGTATACATAGGTATAAATGAAAAGATGCTCATAAAAAAAAATAACTCCATATAATTAAGTATTCGTTGGATAAATTGTATATACCGCCATAGTTTTTATGAAAATGTGCCGACGTTTCGCTTAATGACAATTCAAGCCAAGTATAAAAATAACTTGAAATGCCGCAAACTTCTGGTAATTGTGGAAAAGTTGTCATGTCGTTAGTGTGTGGGTGTATTGTGTGTGGATGTAATGCACAACTGAGATTACAAAAAGTACAACAATAAAAGTCTGTATAAAATTTATGACCGTTAATGCGCCAAATAGTGCTTAACTCAGTCAGCGGAGGTGAATGCAAGCAGAAAAGCTTGTGAGTTCAGGATGAGCGAATGTTCTCGGACATTTGTGCGCATTAGTATGTGAAACTCGTCCGAAAAAGTTTATGTTTGTGTGACCTTATTTGCGAATTTGCATAATAACATTTTTAATAAGCGAAGTTTACTAATTTATGGATTAACTGCTGTTGAACTATGCAATCAACGATTTACTGAAAGTACATTTTGTCACAAAATATTTCGGGGTTATTTTACATTCGCCACATAAACGAGGTGTCTGTGACGAAAAACAATAATCTGCCCCATATTATCTTTGATCATACTGCTATTGTAAAAGTGTCGCTATAGAGAAAGAACATTTTCAGAACGCAAGCAACCAAAGTCTCCTGTTACATTAGTCAACAAATACCATTGTTATAAAATGCGATATAGGTACAACCCTTATTATAAAGACTATGTAACATAACCAATATATGGAGGTGGAAGTGCCAATTAATCCTCCATTTCCAAATTATATCATGTGATTTCAAAACGCAGTTTTCTCACTGAGTTTTATTAGCACAGCTTTAGTAATTTACGATATATTAGATATTAAACCTACTAAAGTACAAGAATATTATTGAATCCCGGGGACGATTTAGTTCCCACTTTTTATATGTCGGTCTGAAAATACTCGACGGCTATATTCAGCTATATTTTTCAATATACCTCCTCTAGTTCCCCCTGATAACCAAATATTGTGAATCACAATCATGAAAGAAGTATGTTACGTAAAAATTAAAGAGCTTATTAATAAATATCAAAACCTCTTCGATGGATTACCTAAAAAAAAGCAATTAAATCATGCCTTAAGCATTCTCAATCTATTTGAACAGATGCGGCGCCCATCGTAAAGGTATGATTAATCATTTTGACACATTTTTCTTTTTGCCAAATAACTCAAGCCCTTAAACTTTTGCACTTAACACAATTAAGCCAAAGAAGAAGATGATAAAAAAGTTAAGATAGCCAGCTGAGCTTGACACTCTCTATGTGAAAGAAATGATACTTAGAACGATCGGGGTATCGGGGGTTAAATAAAAGCCTTTTTATGGTTTAAATCAACCAAAAATAGAATGAATTAGTCAGAATAAGTATGTAATGTTATAAATAGGTTAATAGGATAAGCTTAATTTGTATTTGTACATATTCCATAAAATTTAAAACGAATTGTTTGAAGCAATTGATGCACTATTTACTTTGTCATTAGTTTGTCAGACTCACACATACATATATAGTAATTTGATAGTTGCACATAAATATTTTCAGATATATGCCAGCACTTTCCATATAAAAATAAATTAACATTATATTTATTTATGCATATGACTTTATTCGATTTGATTTCCATGTGCATTTGTACACTGAAATTCGATTTATTGCAAGCAAAGGAATAGAATTTCATATTCACATTTAAATGTACGCGAAATAAGTTTGATTGCATATTATGTATGTATAGATGCTTGTATATCAAAGAACATGATATGAAGAAAATGCAAAATATATAGCAACATTCATAAGTTTTCACTATAGCGTGATTTGAATATCGAAAATTTTCAACAAAACTTACTTCTGAGTTTTTTAAAGATATGTAAATAGCGTTAATTCCATGTTCGTACCTTAGACAAAATTAAAACATACACAATCGACTACTTTCCATTATTTAGGTATATTAAGGGGTTATCTATGTTTAGTGTTTTGTTTATTCTATTAAAAATCGTATTTCTTCAATCATTATCAGGCAAATAAATATATTGAGAATTTCCTGTGAAAATTTCCAGTCGATTTATTCAACCGTTTCGCCTTTAAAGTTTGCCAAATCAATTATACATTTTCGGAGAACATTTACATTTAAAAGAAAATTAAAAAGCGATATTACGAAACTCGCAAGTGGATATAACACTTTACATACGTTATAACAAGTAAAACAACAAAAATTTACAATCAAGCTTTTAAAAACTTTTAAATATACTCAAATGAAAACGAAAAAATTTGGCTTATGAAATAAATCGTAGAACTCTTTCAACCGAAACATTGACAGCAAAAATATTATTGTACACATATAGTATAATGTAAAGACCACAGAGATATTCGCGAAATAATGAAAAGTTTTCTGAAACACTGCAAATACTTATAAATACATGACTTTTTGTTTCGAACACCCTTACATATTCTTAGCAAATATTCGCTATAATCTTCACTGATTCACTGCTTTTTGCAAATACTCATCATTTTACAATTTCTTTATATGTATGTGTCTATTGTCCTGCAAAAGTATGAACGTATATTTGTATATGCTTTTTGTCTATCCCGGCAGTTGCTGCTTCTGAATTAAGAGCTAGCGGTGGTCCAAATCCGGCGGCGCATCCTTGGATACCCGTTGTGGCTTACTTGGAAAGTCTGCCGAGACCAACAAAACCGCCAAGTAGGTTGTGTTTCTTTTCAGTTGCATTTCTAAGTGTTTCTTTCGTTCCTTTCAAGTATCGATTATTAATGGATTGCAATGAACTGCCAATGAGTTTCATGTATCCTATGAATACATATCGTAGCAGATTGGTGTTTGTATGAATGTATTTAAGTTTATGTTGATTCGAAACGAAAAGTGCATGCGCGTAGAGTACGTCTAGGGCTACATATGCTGATTTACGATTTCAATTTCAAGTTATCTTGTGCCAACTCAATTGAAAATGCAAATACAAAGATAAATGAAAACAAATGGCTACTCCACCATATTAAACACTACACTCACACATCCACCAACACCTTTATTTTTTTATGAATGTGAACACACTTGCCGTTACCCAGAGGAAACAACAGACCCCTCTAACACTTACATACGATGCTGCTGATCTTAGTTGTTGTTCTTGTTATTCGTTTTGATGCTGACTGTTGTATATTGCGGCTTAGATTCTGTAGTCACGTAGCAGTTTTCTTAAGAAAGAGGTGTCTATCTATAAGCTTACAAAACTACACTTTAACATATATGTATGTATGTATATACCATATATAATATATATACCATATGTATGTAAGAGACTTTTACTTTGTTGCATTTTATCTTCATTAAAAACTAATCTACACGAGTGAGCGTAAAAATTCTTGAGTTTGATTAACGCGTTTCCAATTTTCCATTCCACCATTTCACATACAATACATATAATATTTGTCCATTCCATTGATTACCGTTGGATTTACATTTCACTTTTGCATTTGTGCATTTTTCTTGCCACAGAATGCGACCAGACATTCGTTTCACGTATTGGCGGCCCACAGAATGGCACATTCACCGCGCCGCTGCTGCACAATCACAAGAACCATTCGCGTCAGTGCTTGTACACTTTCCTAGCAGGACCCGGGCAACGTGTCGAAGTACTTTTTACAGCGTTTAATTTAAGAGGAAGTCCACCAGAGTAAGTAATGAAGGAATGCAAAAATTTAAATTTAATTACTCGCCGCTAATTTGCATAACAGTGAATAGTTCGAATATCACTGGCAGAATCCGGACGAATTTTGGTTAAATAATTCAGATTTAATTACGAAAATGAATTGAAAATTAACTTTTAAATTATTATTTCTTTCATTTTTCATTTTCAGCGGTTCCGCCGTCGGTGAATTACCAGCGTAAGTACAAATTATTGACATTCTCTTTGTTGATATATTAAAAAGTTATTACTATATTTTGTACACCACTGTCTTTGATTCACCATTCCTCTGATATCTTTGCGCGCTACTCTGTTGTCGTGAAATTTGATATTTAAAAACTTAGGAATTAAATAAATTAGAATTGCTTACAGAAAGCAAACTAAAAAGTTTTTTGACGAAGAAAGAATACATTTTCCAACAAAGATGGAAGACACGTTAGCGCAGGGTTGCGCCCGTTCGTTTGAACATCTAGTACAGCTGTCTACCGAAGACAGCTTTTATCTCATACAAATGTCTAGGTTCTTAAATTTTTGACAAATGATTACTTACAGTTAAGTTCAGTCCAACACTTGTAATGCATTCACTTCATTAGCAATTGCAAAACAAGTTCAATAGAAATTTCAAGGTATTTAATTTCTCTACGAGAAATATAAATCAAGAATGTTCTTTTGGAGGTTAAGTATAATACATCTTAGAGGTTATGCTGTAAAACTAAATGTGTCCCGTTACTTCTGAAACCCGACTGACTAAAAGCGAGAAAAAGCATGAAATTGTAACGCGCATAAAAGATAAGCTGTTCTTCCGAACTTTTGTTCTCGATTTCTCCTTTTTTCTCTATTTCGTTTTATCAGCAGGTGATAAAACTAAATGCAATCTTTGTGCCACTTAGATTTCTCTGTGAAAATTGTGTAGTCATATTTGAAGTTGAGTCATGTTATATAAATACAATAATATTGTAAAAATATAAATCTATAATCAGATATACATTTACTCTCATACATTCCCTATACTTGTATGAACGATAGAAAGCATTATTCTTTTATCATTTTTTAGTACACAATTTTTAAATATCGTTAGCTACAAGACAAGAACTCTTTTGCATTTTTTAGCTGTGTTCACGAGTACATGGATATATATTCGGAAGTGCAGTCGTCAGATCCAGCTGAACTAATAAATTCACCGTTTGGCGGACGATATTGTGGTACAATACCGCCGCGACGACGTATCTCCATGTATCGAGCTATAGCCATCTCATTTTTTACCAATAAAAATGTATCAACACCCGATTTATTCGAAGGAACTTATAGATTTATAAATGCATGTGAGTACTTTCGGTTAAAATTAAACAATATGCAAGCATATGCATACCGTAAACTAATTAAACTGTTTAATGAAATGTATTATAATTGTTCGTTCTCTCAGCTGAATATGAAATTGGTATACCAATAGCGGGTTCACCATGTTCCTACACCATTACGCCTAGCATGAGTATAAATAAAACTGGGGCACTAATATCGCCAACCTATCCGGGTGCCTATCCAAAGGATATGTCATGTACATATCAATTCCTCGGCGAATCGAATCAAAGAGTTAGATTAGAATTTCGAGATTTTGATCTATTTTTTGGTGGACCACAGTGAGTACCTCTGAATGCTGAACAAACTAATTTAGTTACAAACATGCATATGCAGCATTAGCGCTCCATTATGCTCATTGTATGTATGTTTGTACACTGAATTGGGTAATGCTAATTGAAACTGTCTGTCTACTCAACAGCTGCCCATTTGACTATGTCAAAGTGTATGATGGTCCCGATAATTCGTCAGCATTAATTGGTACATATTGCGGACAGCAAAGGAATTTAGTTTTATACTCAAGCGAATCGAGCCTTTTTGTTCATTTTTATACATTGCCAAGAACAGCGAATACACAAAATCGTGGCTTTAAAGGAATTTATGAATTTAGCGAAAGTTTTGTTAAATTAGATTTTATACGTAAGTAATTCGTAACCATTAATGTTCGTCAAACTGTAAAGCGCACCTAAACTTGCATAATTTTTGGTTTGTTGATAAGATTGTGGATGATTACGAGATTAAAAATAGGATTAGTTTGAAGAAGTCTTCAACATTTAGCAATTGTGTAATCGATTTAGAACGGTAATAGATAATTAACTACAGTCTAGTTGACTTTTTTAATATAATGGTATTATTACTTCATATAAAAGTCTATCAGTCACCAGTATGGAATGACCAAATAATCAGAAAATGCTGCTTTTAGTATTGAATACAGTTAGGAATTTCCAATAGATAAAAGAGCTTTATATCTTTTTTTCAAAAATTTCTTAAGAAAATTATCTTTTACAGTCCATTCATCTGTTAAATCACAGGAAAGTAGAATTGAAAGTACATTTCCATATTTTCAACTCAATTATTTACTTGGATTGCGAGCAGATGCATTACGTTCCAAAATAAACTGCAGTAACTTGAAGAAAACATTCAAATATAATAATATTACATATAAGCTTGTTTCTTTCGAGTTACTGCATCTCTACACACAATTTTAAACAAATCAGAGTACTTTGATACGAGAACATTTTTAGCTGACTGTATGTGATTGTAGATCATGCGCAAGCAACGTAGATTTTTGGTGCATTTGAGTATCCACAAAGAACCTATTACTAACACTACCTATATTTGCTTTAATTAGAAATTACTCAATATATTAAATTTATATAAAAATCGTACAACAATTTATTGGATCTCAATTATATACCTAATAACTGATCTCTCTTCCACTTTGTTTCCAAAATTCCCCTAAACACCTTTTCTCACTAATAACTACACTAAAATGCAACAACAATGCTTCGCTCGTCAAAAAATCTAATCGGCATATATTACGAAACAACTACAAACAAAATTATGAAAAATTAGGTGAAAATGATGGCATTCACATACGTGGCTCCGAATGTGATCAAAAGATATTATCGAGAAAGGAATCAACGGGTTTTGTGCTCTCACCAAATTATCCCTATCCATATATACCGAAAACTGTTTGTAGGTAAGTACCAATGAAAGACTATTATTTTATAACTAAAAGTATTTATATTATATTATCGCAATATATTATCTTAAAAGGTATAGCTGAGAATATTAAACCCATGTCGTTTGAACTTTAGGCTTTCTATCTTGATTAAACTGCAGTAAAACAAATTTTATTTCTCCTCACACCACAAGGTACTTCATTTACGGCATGCAAGATGCTCAGCATCTGGAACGTGTACGTCTGGAGTTCTCAGCTTTCAACATACCCAAGGTAGAGCACAAGGATAAAAGCGAGTAAGTAACTAGATAGGTTAAAGTAAACTCAACGCCTACCACTCAACAGTAAAAAATTTTCATATCCATAGATCCAATTGCACAGACGGTTATCTTAAAATCTATCTTAAGGGTCAGGAAACGGCCGATGCCTATGACAAATTTGATTACGAGTTATGTGGCAATGAAACGCAACGAGTTCTTAGCGATGGACCACGCTTGGCAATGGTATTCAGTTCGGGTGAGCTACAGGGTCGCGGTTTCAAGGGTAAATACATCTTTGAAACTGAATATAAAATACCTGGTACAGCTGCACCCGATGGCACGTGTAGCTTCACATATGTGAGCAGTTCAAAGAAACGTGGCGAACTAAACAGTCCTCGCTATCCATCCAACTACCCATCGGACACGAATTGTTCGTATCTATTTCTAGGTGAACCGAATGAGCAGGTCACGATAGTTTTCGATCATTTTAAAGTTAAAGCGGATGGTAACTCAAATGCAACGGCTGGAGCTTATGGGTAAAGGATAGCGTTTTACTTAATTTAACTTAATTTCAAAGCCCTCAACTAATATTCTTCAATACTATTATACATTCTATGTCTATGCAGTTCTAGCGCTTGCTTTGAAGACTGGCTGGAAATGTATGTTGTTTATCGTGATAACAACGATCGTTTTCTTGGTCGCTACTGTGGTTTGACAGCACCCGGCCCCGTTGAGAGCCCAAGGGGTGCAGTGGGTCTGCGCATCACATTGCATACGGATCAAGAGAACGTAGCTAGTGGTTTCAAAGCGCGCTACTTTTTCGAATCTCCTCGCACCGATGTGGCTGAATGCGGTGGCAACTTCTCAGGTCAGGACTCGGGTATTATCACTTCTCCCAACTACCCAGCAGGTTATAAGGCACCCAGTCGTGGTATGGCTTCGATGGCATGCAATTGGATAATGACAGCACGGCCGGGTTATAAGTTATCAATTAATTTTGAGCACTTCTCCATCGAAGGCGATCCAGCAAGTGAGTAACAGGAGCGCTGTTCTAAATATAGTATTCACTGCTATAAATCTGCTTCGTTTATATCATTGACAACAGATCGTGGCTGTCCTGCTGCTGTTTTGCGACTTTGGGTCAATGTCGATTCTGATCAACCGCCATTGGAATTGTGTGGTGAAAAGCCACTTATCGAACAGTGGTATTATATTTCTACTGGACAAACTGCTCGTATCAGTTTCACAACCAGCGACAAAACCGTTGGTGCTCCGGTAAGTAAATTTAAATTATAGAATTTTCATTTGTCGACGTATCTTACAGTTTGCTTTTTATACCCTGAACATTGTATATTAAGTTTGTCACGATATTTGTAACACCCAGAAGGAAACTCTGAAGGCCCTATAAAATATATACATATATATGATCAACGTAACGCGCTGATATGATGTAGCCATGTCCGTCTGTCTGTATATACGAGAGCTAGTCTGTCAGATTTTGATATATCGCTCTGAAAATTTGCACACGTTCTTTTTTCCCCAAGAAGCTGCTCATTGGTTGAAACCACCTATATCGGACCACTACATCATATATCTGGAACACAAATTGAACGATCAATTACTTGACAAGATATCTTCACGATTATGTTCTAAGGCACTGCAATAATATTTAAGGAAATTTTCTAGATCGGACTACTATAGCATAAAGCTGCCATGCAAACTGAACGATGACAATCAAATTATTATATGGAAACCTAATTTTTTTATAATTGAAGGAGATTTTAGCTCCAAAGGAACCGAAGTTAACGTTTATTTTTGTTTTTTCCTTCGTTAGCAACTCTAATTACTTAACGTTACTTCAACATAATTATATGTTGATTGAAGTTCTTCAAATTAAATAGATATTTTTATAATTATTTGAATTCGCTGTTTTGCAGGGCTTCCGCATTGTATGGACTGAAATACAAGACTCTGGTCCTGGACCACCGTCCATTGGACTGCTTTGTGAATCAACATACCACTTCCAATGCGATGTGGGCTACTGCATTTCCGACAAACTACGTTGCGATGGCGTCAAAAACTGTGGTCCCGGTGATGATAGTGACGAATTGCACTGTGAGTCGTGAGTGAGTCGAACGGTTCAGTTCATTTTTTTCTTATTTACTTTTATTTAATTATAAGTTTTCTTCTTCTTAAGTTTGCAATTTCAGTTGATTTCCGACCAATGATTCGGTACTTAACAAGACAGATGGAAATTAATGGATTTTGTTCAAATATATTCATTTCGAAATACAACTTATTTCATAACTGTAGTATAGTATGCATTTTTACTATTAAAATTACTAATAAGAAACATTATAAAAATTAAATATTAAAAATATAATATTTTCAAAACTCAGTTTTTAACATACATTTTCAAAAGTAATTTAATAAAGTCCTTTCGAATTGTTTTCACATACTCAAAATTTAACTGTTTTCATATTCAAATGAATACTGTTACATACATATACTACATTTTTCGAATGCATAAGAAATCAAACGAAATTATATCTAAATAAACCTCTCTACTTATATTATAACACATATATATTTAATTGAACTAAACTTCCCCTTATTTTCCACCTGCGTTCTTTTACTCTCCTAAAGTGGAAATATTTTTTTAATATCTATATAATTTCACTTTACTTTTAGCTAAGTTCGTATTTATTAAATTTGTTCACAATCAAACTTGAACCTGACGACACAATTTAAATATGCTAAAATAGTTTTCTGCCTTATAAATAACAATATTAAATCTTAATCTATAAATATTACTTACAATACATTGCTTATAGACTAAACAGATGTTAATGAATTGTTCATCAACAATAATCGTAAACAACTTAAATACTTTATTCAAATATAAACAATAAAGATCATTAAAATGGTTCATAAAGAAACGAATGAATATTTATAGCGTGCTAGATACAAAAAGAGACATGGAACAAGTCATTAATTTAACATCATGCATCGAAGAATGAATTTGAGTCCGACCACATAACCTAACAATCTATGCTTAATGCTTGAAAGAAAACTGGTTGAACAAAAATGAGAAATAAATAAAGTGCCACATGTCATTTTTGTATTTAGTTTGTTATATAGGTCTAAACAAATCTTTATACACTGAACTTGCATATTCGCACTGCACTTTTATAAAAAAATTTTGAAGCATTTTTCACGAAATTACATTATTAATTATGTATACTTCATCACTTGTCCATGTACATAAATATACATAAGTTTGGTTATTGTCCATCTATCATAAAATTTAGGCTTTTAGAGCAGTTTCCTACCATGAATGGCTTGAATGATATATAACAGTAAAAAATTGTATTATAAATAACTTTATATTTATTGCTCTGCCAAAGAAAGAAGCGCAACGCAATTGCGCATGCGTTAAAAATAGTATATCTTTGAACAGCTGGTATAGTTTTGTTCGACTAGCTACCTCTAAGTTTGGAAGTTTGGAAATTAACTTCCAAGCAAAGTAAAATCCCTAATGAAATTTGTCAAGTTGTCGATAAACATGAAAAGGGTGCGAGATATTTCGAAAACTAATTTACTTCGTACTTTCTTTTTTGCTCAGTCAATCTTTTAAGCTTTTTCCACTGGGGATACCGGCTACTTCACAGAAAATACTATTACTTTAGTACCAATTGATACGTATATGTCATTGTGTAGTTGCTTGATTTCTTTTAAATCTAAATACATGATTGTTTTAGGGACATTTTTATAAACAATGGAAAGAATGAAATTTACCTCCAAAATTAGATCTTAAAGATTAATTCTTATTTATTGATATAAGTAGGGTAGGCATATTTGTACTGTTCGAAATACAAATGTCACCTCATAGTAGATAAGCGCCTTTAAATAGACCACTTAACTGGTGAATTACTGAGGGCTGTTGAGAAAAATATAAGGATGTAAAGACTAGTACAATTACAAAAATTTATTTACGAGTATGTATGTGTGTTTGTAAACTCATAGTCAATTTAATCGAATTTTATCAGTCCAAATAAATCTTCCGTCTATATTTTACTTCAAGATTTATTCACAAAACCATTGTTTCTATTCTTTTTACCCATTTTCTCTTCTATCACTCGCTCATGCTGGTCTTCTTCAAACTCATCAATTGAATAATTCCTTTTCATTCTCATCTTTGTGTCTTTCTATTTCAATTTTCAAATTAAACCAAAATAAACCATTTTCAATTGTTTGTTGTGTGCTACTTGCTTCTTCCTCTTCTTCTTTTTATTAACTTTTCTTTCTCTCTTTAACGCCTTCCTCATACTAATACGCCCAGGCGACGGAAATACACCTCTGATGCCATCATTAATACAACTTATTGGTTTAGCAATTGGCGTGGCGCGATTCTTACAATTTTAAATACGTACTTTTAAGAGTCAAATCAAAAAGATTTAGAAAAAAAATAAAATCTAACGTATACTTGCATTGTTCTCAACATAAAAAGAAAGTAGAAATTGTCTAATCGCAATTTTTTTTTTTTGAACGTGTATAAATTGCTAAATCAACTCAAGCGAAAACTTGATCCTTTAACAACTACACTTGGCTGATAAGGCGCGCCCAAAGCCACATTAAATTTAGCGTATGCAATTGTTGCAATTACAAAACTCTAAACTAAAACATTTTTCGCATACAAATAAGTCATCTCTGATTCAGAAACACGTGAGTCTTTTCAAATACTAACAACTTTACAACAAATCTTAACTCTTAACTCTTTTTGCTACATAGTTTTATAACATGCTTACACACTAATTTCTGTAACGAATACTATGGATATTATTCATATACACTTTATGTACATACAAACATGTTGACATAAACTCGTTAGTACTCGCTAGCAAATGGCACTCTATAGACCACCCCATACAACCCATACAGCCCTCACTCAACATAAACTCGCACTCACACAAACTCGCTCCTCTCACGTTATGCAACGCTATATAGTTGTGCGTAATATGACGCCATAAAAGCTTAAACCAAAAAAATTTAGAATTGCATAAACAATTAGGTGTTTTAGAATAGAAATATTGCTTAAACTGCCTTCCTAAGTTTTCGATAATTCACGTAAAAAACGCTTAAATAGCCGACAATTCTCTACGTACTCGAAATTCATTCAAAAAGCTTTGTTTTATTTGGACTTATTATTTTTTAGGCAACTTTCTACGACCTCAGCACCGTTTAAGTTAATTTTGTTTTAAATAATTTGTGCTCGACAAATAATACGGCAGTAAACTAAAAAAAAAACAGTTCAACTCATCTAACACTGCTGTTTTTTGAGAGCTCTTTTGGTACGAGTTTAGCACTGACAGGTTTTATTGTTTCTTTAACTATTTCGATGTTGTCGTCTTTAATAGAAGTAGATGGACGACTCTCACGCAAGAGGCAAGTTTTCGATGACTTCACAAGCTTCTCTCAATGCTTTATGCCACTAAAATACATGTGTTCGTGATAAAGTAGTTTCCTCAAAACACCTCTGCAACATTTTCACTGATTCTGTATCCGTGATTACACGTGAAACACAAAATTTCAAGCAAACTCATTGTTCATCAGATGGTACTTTTGCTTTTACTCGATCAAAAAAATATTAACAAGTTTTTTATTTTAAAAAAATATTATACTTACGGACATCGAGAACCTGACCTAAATCTATGGGTTGATATTAAGGTAGCGATTCTTTTAGTAATAAATTTCTGTGTTTTTTCACTTTATTATTCTATGTTTTTGCACACGATTGTAATCGCCATTTCATAATACTTTCGACTCAAAAAAATCGCATGTATTCAGTTCTAGTCGTTGGTTCAGTTTCAAGTAAGAGAAGAAGTATGTATGTATGTATGTTCGAGCCACAAATATTTGCACAGCATGCACATAACCCATCGAGAAATTTAATTACTCTTTTGTCAACGTATTCATTGCATAATGATTCCTCATATTCGATAAACATTTTCGAAAAAATTTCCCCACTTGACATTTTCCATCTGCCAATTTTATCGGTAAAACATTGAAACTCTATCTAAATACAAAACTAATCCACAAATTTAATTTTGGAACTTATAAAAGCAAAATAAATGAAAGTATGTACATGCACATCTAAGTATGTATGTTATTATCTCTATATATTTAAACACAAACAGCCCTAAATATGAGTTATTCTAAATACAAATACGATATTTATTGATATTAAAATATTAAGAAATATTTCATAACAATTTATGGCAGTTCACTAACAAGTTAAAATTTTCTTACTCTGTCTTTTCTGAAAACAAAAATCGCGTGCAACAAAATCTTTGACGAAACCTTTTGGACTTTCGTCGTCGTTTTTGTGTGTTTATGAATAATATGAATATGCATGCAAAAAGGTACCACACAAGCGCCCGAGGAGGATCACGGCGTTCTAATTATAATAACACTAATCGTCGTCTCGTTCCTAATCTGTCTCCTATGCACACTCTGTCACTCCAAAAGAAAACGTAGAGCGCATGTGCGCCAACTGGGCCTGCACCGCAATGCGCATTACGATTCACAAACCAGCGCAACTGGTAAGTTCGGCTCATGCTCGTGCTGCGAATAATATCCGTTTTGATGTCTTACTTAATTTCAAAACCGTTAATTTTGTTATTTTTGTATTTTCAGTTTTTAAAAAATTTTAGTCAATCTGAACATCATATTTACACATTTTCTTGTTTAAGAATTTTGACACATTAACAGGTAATGCCCGAAACTTAAAGCCTCCTTTGAGATTTCGACCAGTATATATTATTGTCCAACAGAACGCTACAATCTTCGAATATATTGTTCAGATCGGACCACTATACATAGCATATAGCTGAAACACAAACTGACTGATCAAATTAAAACAAATATGTGTTTTTACTCTTTTAGACTATAAGAAATATAAAGAATATTATAGCTTCGGTTAACTTTTTCTTTGTTTTTTTTTTTAATCTCCGACGCATATGTGAACTTTACCAATTATTTATCGACTACAATTTTAAGCTTAGCAGCTTACCATATATGTTAAACAACTCGACACTCTCTTTCCTTTTTTTTAAATAAATTGATTAATAAGAACACTAAATTATCTAAATTAACCATTTGGCAGGACGTTTCCCCATCAAGTTTGTGTCTTAAGTCTTTTGATTGTGCCAATAAAATAACGCCTAACTCCCAGTATCTTTTTAACAACAAAAAAGTCTACACTTTTCGTTCAATGAATTCTGGTTGTCTTTATCATTCAAAATTTATTTCTTTAATTTCCTACAAACCCTCTTCTATCCCATATTTATTATAAATAATTGTTATACCTCTCCTCTCCGCACAACCGCGATAGGTTTGAGTTCCAGCCGACGGCATTTGCAAGGTGGTGCGAGCATATCGGGTAGTCTACATGGCATCAATAGCGGTTCATTGATGATACCACCAGCACCCTTGCCACCCACCAGTGTACCACCACCGCCGCACATCTGCATTGCGGGCGTCGACGGTCTCAGCGCAGGCATACTAATTAACGACGACGACGGCCTGGACGATGACGACGAAATCGATCTAGACAATGTGCAGCATGAGATATTCATTAACGACGTACGATTTGACGATGAAGACAACCACTTGGAGCAAATGCATCATTTGGAAACCGTTTAACAATTGGCGAAGGTTTTGGGCGGCACTAGAGGCGTTATCCAATTGTTGCAACAATATGCGGCATTTTATAGGAATTTACAAGCATAGGAACAGATTTAATTTACAGTAATAAGAATTAATGAATAATACCGAAAACATTAGTAATAATAATTGTACGACTACATCATTAAGTCAGGTTTTTAATAACAAAATTAATCAATAAAATCCAATTCCCAGGAATTAATATGTATGATGTTTGAAGCAAATAACAACAAAATGTTTCATGAAATAATATGAAAAAAATTACCGGCAAAATTCAGCAAATTCAAAAATGCCAATGATTCGAAAAAGTGAGGAACTAAAGCAATCGGCCAGAAAGGATGAAAGGAGTGACTTTGTGAAAAAGCGGAGAGTTTGTCTCTTTGAATATTAAGGGAATATAAGACGAAAAAATTGTCGGATTTAGACTGGGTTTATTGGCATTTTATTGACTTTTTTATTTTTGAAAAAATCGTATAAAAATAAAATATACATATTTGTGTCCACGCGACATTTGGAAGATCACCTAAAAGAACTTGTTGTAAAATAATTTCCATAAATTTAATATTTAAAAGTTAACAGTACTGCGAATGGTAGGAAGCGAGATAGCATTTTGACAAAGCTTTTTATTGTGAAACAAAATAAAAAGTAACGAAATTAAGACGAAATTGAAACGAGAGGTAAAACTAAAGTGAAATAAATTTAAAACTAATAATAAAAAAAGCAAAAACAAAACATAAAAAAGCTCATTAGAGATAATTAATGAATAATTTATATATGAAACAGCATAAAATAGTAAACGAAAATAAAACGGTAAATCTCATTCAAAGTGAATTCATTGCGAAAAGCAAAATATTGTTGATTTTTATATTTGATACGATTTAGAAGCATTATACATATATTATTCGTAAGGCCCCAGCCATATTGAGAGGTAAATAACAACAACGCATATACATGTTTCAATTTTGTTAACGACAAACACACGAACCCATAATAATAATGAAAGTTGAGACAAAATGCAGTTCACAGTTGACTCATAAAATCACTCATTCTATTTCTTTTGTACACTCGTTCTATATCTTTTCTACACCCAGCAGTTATTCACATAACAACACTCATCCCCTCATCAAGCCGCTCGAGACACTTTCACGCAAACACGAAGAACGCGAACGCGAAGAATGAAGCAACTTACCACATCAATAATAATGATTCTAAAAAGTGCTCAATACGTTAGTAAATATACAATAAAAACAATACGTACGAGTCTTATTGCGAGTAAATAAACAAAATAAATAAATAGCATACATATTTAAGTACATATGTACATACATATTTGATAGTAAAATGCCATAAAAACAAACATAAGAAACGTAACAAACGTAACAAACGTATAACGCTCATACATAATACCTTTTTGATGGCAATATTACGTATTTATTACGGTAAAAAACTCCGAATGTGACAACAAACTGACAACCAAAAGTTGCTGCTCAGCCGACGTGCTACTACACTGAATAATAATAATAATCAATTAGTGACTATCAAAACTGCATCTTCCAAAGTAAGTAATTAAATAACGAAATACTAAGGCACTTAAACATAAAAATATATATAATATAATGAGACCTTTAGCTTGAACACTGGCATTAGGTAAAATAACGGTAAAAATTTATCAAACGAAAGTATATAAGTGAAAATGAGCATAATACAGGGCTTGTAGTAAATTAGATATTGAGATTGAAGCTCGCGAGTTTTGGGAGATAAACAACAGGTATATATAAAAGGGGTTAAAGAGCTTTTACTTATCTTAAAAATATTTGAAATTTTTACATAATTTTTTTTTATTTTTAATTGTTTGAATTCATTTTTTTTATATACATATGATAAGGAAGTAACTAAATGACAGATTTTAAAACAAATTTTTGTATTAGCTTATATTTCTAATGAAACCGCAAAATTGGAATTTTAGTAAACCGAAAAATTCAAAACATTGTAATACATTCAAGTTAAAAAATTCTTTACTACTACATTAGTTCGTAAAATTCAATTTTCAATATTTTTAACTCGAAAAATAAATGTATATATATTTTGTTCGCATTCATTTGTATTGATTTTGTACTCGTTTTCCTTCGTGTATACTCGCATACACAAACTGCAGACCCAACGGACGGTAAAAAAAATCTAAAATCGAGTTAAAAGGCAACAAATTAAGCAGCATTTTAAAAAAATATCAGTTTCGCCTAGAATTAAGATTAATGAATGCAACTAAAGTTAAACACTAAATTAAATGTTGGTAGTAAATTTAAAGAAACAATTAAATAAACTAGAAGTAAAACCATGATTAAACGAAGAAAAGAGTTGAAAATTAATTTTAAAAAATTAAATGAATTGTAGTTATTATTATTAAAAATGCACGGAGGCAATGTTAAAGAAAAATGCTTAATTAGACACAAATGTATTCATTCAATGAAAACTAAACGAAGTATTATAAAATGAGATAATAATAAGTATGGAGAAATAATTTGTAAATTAGTTTGAACCAAACTACTTACACACACACACATACAAGTAAATTCACCGAACATTAACGTTTGGAGCACTTTTATTTAAAGGAAAATGTCATAAATTTTTTATAAACATTTTTGTTTTCTTCCTGAAATATCATTTTAAAAATCTTAAAATCATCACATTTTTTTATTACAACAATTATTTTTTTTTAGTTCGAAATCGTCAATTCCCACTTCTTTTTCACCTAAAAGTACATAACAGCTTAATTTGTATTCAATAGGTGTATTATAATTTCAAAACCACAAATGTTTCTGCACACACACATGCATTTACACACACAAGTACATAAATGCATAAAACATTGAAAGCTAAAAAATGTTATTAAAACAAAAGTATTTATTAAAAAATAGATAAAAGTATTGGTTTCATAGCGCACGTACGTTTTACAACAACAACAAAAATCAATAAATAAGTGATGTTAAAAATGTTTACGAAATTAACGAAGAAAATTAATGCTAAATGAGGTTAAAGTATTGAAATTAAAATCGTCAAAATTTAATTAAGAAAACAAATCAAATTAATTAAATGTAATAAAATAAGTATTTGCATACATATACTATGTAACACTGCGAATTGCATTAAAACATGTACCCTTGAAGGTAAAAGCTGAAAATCATAAATTAAGCATAATTTATATTGGCTCAAAGTTTATATTTTTATTTTCTTTTTGAAAAGCCAAATTTTTTAATAAAACTGTTAATTTTTCAGCGCAAAAAAAAAGAAGAATAATATAATTTACTAAAATCTGAAAGGCAATACCAACATAACTATGTAGACAAATTGTGAAATGTAACGTTAAAAATGCAAGCTAAATGAAATTGTCGTAGAATTATCTTAACAACAAGGGTATTTAAAAAAAGCATTAAAACGATCGAAAATCAAAAATATAAACTAAAAGGTTATTAAAATTAAAAGTAAAAATGTTTATCAAATAAAAATGAGAAAGCGCAGTAAAACATAGCTTCGAAAGTAGCAAAATGAAATGTCAGAACGAGGGAGGGAAGCACGCTCTCCAAAGTAAACAATTGAATGTTAACATTAAATTTAAAAACGATATAAGAAATATGAAAAAAATGCATGTAAGCAAACAAAATATAATATAACAAAAGCATATTGCAATGTAAAATTATAAAAGTATAATATGCGATAGGTTAAAAGTTCACACAATAAAGAACAGACAGACAAACAGAAATATGTTATTGAAAAATAGCGAGCTAAAAATTTTAATGCATTGTAATAAAATATTGAAACACAGCAAAAACTGTTTGAAATACACACATACATACATATTAAACTCAAACAAAAACCAAAACAAAAATTTAAAAAACATAAAACAATATTGATTAGATCGTGTAAGAGAACGCGTAATTTTTAGTGTGTTTAATTCAAAGCAAATACAAAACAACAAAAAAACTCAATAAAAACCAATAAATGCCCAGAGGGGTAATAAAAACAAAACCACAAAAAAAACACTCCCAACACCGTTGGCTGGGAACTGAAACATCAAAGAAAATAAGAAAGATGAAACCCTTTTGTGTCTTGTTAATTATTATTGTATTTCTGTGTATGTGTAGAGAAAGGGTACGCGTTAATTATGTTAATTCTTACGTTATTTGCATTAATTACAATTATTTACTTGATATGTATACAAACAACGACAACAACAATAATGAAAATACACAGTATGAAACATGCCTGCTTACACCCACACACATGCAAACACAAAATATATAAATACAAAATAAAAATAAAATACTTTAGTTAGACGCTCAAAAATGCAAAAAGTACACGTAATGAATTCCAATATAAAAAAATAGTAATTTACCAGACACTGCCTGCACGGCAGACACTGTGTATATTGTGTTTTATGCAGCTATAATAATAGTCAGAAGTAAATTAAAGAGCAACATACACATACCCACATACAAGCATTTGCCTTAGTTATTTAAATAAATTATACAGATTAATCGATGATGATCGAACCCATATTTTATACGTGAACGTACACACACGCATTCAAACAACAACAAAACAAATGTATACAACGCTATTATTATTACGATTACTAATATTATTATTATTATTACTATTATTATATTTACATGCAATGTTTATCTACGCAAATATATAATATGTAATAACCGACAAGAGGTTGCATTATATTTAGTTAGCTTATGCATTGTTCAAATATTTTTATAACCCATTGTCTTTTGTTAGTAAGAGTATTTACAAACATATATGCATAACCATTCGTTTCAACAGCCAATGGCTCAATGTTGTCAACTAAGCATTCATGTTACGTATTAGCTGCTATGTCAATCTAATTTAAGTCTTATTGTAATCGGTTGAAATAAAATTTTATTGAAATACAAATACGCTGCTATATTTGTGTATATATTTATTATACATGTACATATATGTAGGTGTATATGTGTATGTAGGTAAGCTGAAATAGTCGCAATCATTAAAGCTCTCAAACCGCTGGGCATCTGTGAACCAAATAATTTTGAGTTATGCTGCCGAGTTTATCTTCCTTGGTCGGGAAATATGTACGCCGTGTCTGACTTGTGAATTTCAAAAAACCGATGTTTTTTTAATTCATCCCGCAAATAGTTTCGAAAATATGAGCGTAATGTAAAAACGGCTCCCGAAACTTTATACGCCTTTTTCTCGAAACGCTGCTTTCAGAGTGGGTGAAGAAAATTTCTCCAAAACAGCTGGACCGATCGACTTGAAATATTCGATCGTGTTTAGATATATTTGTCAGTTACTGATGGAAGGAATACGATTTTTGATAATAATTTCGAATTTTTAAATCACTCTCAAGTGCAATTTTTTTTATAAAACAAAGACTTTTTGGGGGATAGCCGCCTCTTTAACAAAAATTAAAATTTTGACTAGTACTTCGATCTTTTCTGTTTTTGGATTTGAGATAATTTTAAGCAGAAAAATTTTCCTTACCGCTAGACACTTTTTTACGGAGGTCCTCCTGGAACTCGGCTACGGCATTAAGGACTTGCAAGTGGATATAACCCCTAAGTAGACGCGAGTGGCAGTTAAAGATCTTTTGGTTTTTAAATGTAAAAATGTCATTAATTTCTCATAAGCTACACATGCGAGTATATCACGCCTTTTTTAATACTGTTATGACTACAAAAACATCTTAATCCCTTTAACGATTTCAAATTAACTTTCAATTGAGCGTATAATGGAGCTGTGGGAGTTTCACTAATTATACATATTATTTTTGTGGCACCATTTGCATACTGAAAGTAAAAGAAATTTCAAAATATATAGCAAAGTAGATAATACTTGCTCACTGCATAATGCATACCACCTTAGAAATGTTACATAGGTAAGATTTCTCAGATGGTAAAAAGCAAATACAACTGAATTTTATGTGTCATTCATTCTTAGAATTCCGAAATTTATAAATGCTTACCTCAACAGCTTGTTACTACAAATTTAATTTTAAAATAATTTTAGATTTCGGTTTAAAAGTATAAACTTGTATTATTATCTACTAGTCATACAATTTTAATATATTAATTAGGTAATCAAGTATGGAGTGTACATAAGTATGGATATGAACGCGTTCTAAACGCATCTAAATTCCATTTTTGAAAAAAATTACTGTTTAGTACAAATGGATGAATAATTGAGCAGCTTTGACCAAATCTCTTGTTAATCACTTATCGGTAGCCGAACGAAACTTGCCCAGCATCTTGTCAAAGGCCGTCATATCTCCCTTGACCAACGCTTTATTCTAAAATCTGCGTTATTAAAACCAACACAAATGCAATTTTTTAAAAACTCTTACATCGGACACAAGTTTATCGAATGTTGTCTCCTTTGTACCCACTAAATAAAAGTCATCATCAGATATGGTGACTTCCGCATCAGCCGCGTCTGTTGTGCCATCATAGATATTCAGATCTTTAAAATCAAAAACTATAACGACATTTACGATCAGCCCACAAATAATTGTGTGTCGACACTCACCCACATTTTTAATTAGCTTGCCATCAGTATCGATGAAATTGAATTGGAATACACTTAAAACAGTGCGACGCTCAGGATTAGAATCCTTCAATTTATTTCTTATCTTCTCGATAATGCACTCGCTCTTCATCGTTTTCAGAAATCGAAATCGAACGTCTACGCCGCAGTATACACAAGACGCAACTGAGGCAGGTTTAGTTCAATTTTGGATCAACGATGAGAATATCATACATACACACGTATCTTCAACGCCATACATATTTATGCGTTAAATTGATATAGTAAATGATCGACGCAAAGAGGAATTTGCATAAGGCTTAATTGAAATCAATTTACCTAATCATATAGAGACCAATTATTATTGCTTTGTTGATGTGATCGACCAAGTTACAGTAATTCTATCCCAATACACATAATTTTATTTTATTACTGTTTTATTCATTTCATAGCAATTATATGAATATCTAAGCACTACAACTACAGTTAGGTTTATGGTTTCCATAATTTAAGTAGGCCGTCTTCACTGTAAGTGGCTAACAAATTTTGATGTGGATGATGAGCAAGACCAATAACATCTTTTTCGTGAACCTGTTCATCATTTATCAATTAGTCATATTTAAGTTGGAGTGGTTGCAATCAAAATAAGTACTCACGTTCAATGTACGTTCCAACTTGCCAGACGTAACCGAGAAACAGTACAGCACCTGATCTTCCCCAGCACAATAAATAAATTCGCCACGCGGTGAAATAGTGGCTGATATGAAGGCACCTCCTTCGCGTTTACCCGATGAAAATGAACGAACAATTTGCCCCTGCATGTTCATAATAACCACAGCGTTTGATCGATTACAAACGATAAAATGTTCTGGATTCTTAGGTAATATTAGTACGGTGTTTACAGCCAGCTCGTTGCCTAACGGTTTATAGGTAGACACACATTCGGTGGTTTTTAATGACCAAATCTTTACTGTCCCATCCGAAGAAGCGCTGAGTATATTATGTCCATCTGGTGTGAAAGTTGCCTCATTTACAAATGACGTGTGACCTGCGTATGATATTGTATAAACTAAGTAAACTAAAATCTAGGACACTCGAACACAACATACCTTTAAACTCTTTTAGCATTTTGCCAGATTTTAAGCCGTGCAAACGTATACTGTAATCAAAGGAAGCACTCAACACCTGACTGTTGTCACGCGAAAATTGTAAACAAGTAATGCCCTTCGTGTGTGCCTTTTCAAATTTTCGCAAACATTGTCCAGTTATAATACGCCACACTTTGATTTGGCCATCTTGCGCACCAGAAGCCACCATTTCAGAATCCCTCGAAAATGATAACGCCAATACCGCTTGTTCCATCATCATGAATTGATCTTGTGCTTGGTATTTGAGATCTTTACGTATTTTACCAGTCGTGAAATTCCAAACCTCCAAGAAGCCATCAACGCTTCCCGTAATTAGATATTGGCCATCAGGTGAAAACTGCGCACACTCAACGTGTGACTTTTGTCCAAATTTAATTTGGCGAAACATTTGTGTAGGAAACATTTCCTCTTCCTGGTCTTTCATTGCAGCTTTACCGCGGAATAAATCGATTGTGGTTCCCGGCGGAAGCAGTCCTTGGTGTTGTTGCCATTTCAAAGCCTGGCCTAGCAGCGCTAATAAACGGGATGATGGTACTACATGTACTTCCCCGCTGAGCTCCTGCGCTATTACGGCTCGTCGTTTTTCTTTACTGCTTCCTTCGGGATAGGCTTCTCTGGGATCGAAATATGCTCGCTGCAACATATTTTCTGCAAATTAAGGTAAAAATCTATGGTTTACAAAAGTATAACTAACTCTCCATAAATACCCAAGTGAATATATCTCTCTGGTTCATGTTGTTTTAGCATAATCATAGGATCAGTCTGTCGGAGCAATGAGCGCGCTGCACCTAATTCTCGCAGTTCTATTAATTCAAGAACAATTTGTTCATAAAGATTTAGAAGTTTCTTGTCAGGCAATTTTAAAGACTGTGTCACTTTCAGCACAGTGTCCCAGTGGCCGTTTACTATATCTTGCACAAACCCATCTACACTGTCCACCGTATTCAGTGAAACACTAGTCTCTTCTTGAAGGGTTTGTAGGGTTTTATATAAATTAGATTCTTTTAAATACTGTTGTATTAGACGAATCACACTGAAATAAAAATTAGTATTACAACATACGTACATATGTATTTATATAGCTCACGATTGAAAGCCGGCAAATCTAATTGCCATCATCCACACTTACTCAGCCGATTCAATTTCAATAGACATGGTCCTTGCTTAGTGTATCCTCCTGAGATTGCTGAAAACTGTATATTGCAATTTATATTTTTATTTAATGAACCAAAATCTTTAGAATAAATACATGCAGTATGCCACTGCAAAATGTCAACACAATTCGACCAGAACTCAAAGATGCCAGATGTCACAAAAAAACTATAAGAAAAATGCTAGAATGTCGCATTACCAACCTTTCTGAACAAATACAAATAAAATATTTGCACTTCTACTACTTTTTATTAATTATTTAGCAAAACACTTATGTATCTGTACGTCTGAATACTAATTATATAGAAAGTCTAATATTCTTAAAAATCTTTATAGTTTTGAATAATGAAAAAGAATAAGACACTACCGGTTAAAGGGAATGAGAAATGTCTGCTTTTCAATATGTCTTCATATATTTGTTTCTTCTTATAATAATAAAATTTATTGGTTAGCTGTTTTATCCATAATAATATATATTTCCAACATATGTTTATACGTACAATATTTACGTACACATTTCTCACTGCATACTTTCATAATAAACCCGGTGGTAGCAGTATGAAGGCCCAGAAAAAGTACACATATGATGTATGAATAGTTAAAAATACTCCAATTGTCATAACCGCGTATACTTCGCCCATTGATATTATAAAATTTGATTGTTTCTTAAAAATTTGAAATTGTGAGCAGAAAAGCTTTTACGGTATATAAGATTTATGAAAAATCAACATAAAATATATACAAATGCAAAGCCTTTGCTGTATGTTATTAATATCAATAAATTATAACTCCATTGAAATTTAGAATGTCACTAGCATCAATAGGAACTGTACTCAACCAAGAAGAGCTAGTTCTACTTCACCTTCATTTACTGATGGGAAATATCCATTCAGTGTTAAATGTAAATAATACGTGCCTCAATTTGGCGCTATATTAATACTATCTATTATTTTGAGAATTTAAATTGCAGATGTTACGTTTTCATTCGTGGCTCATCTGAGTTAAATATTTCGAAATCGCCAGATTTTAGTAAAATACATTTTGCGCTGGGAATATCATGACCAGTCTGCGATTTGCTCTGAAACAGTAAAGTGATCATTGACAAGCTGAAATAATCCAAACAATAAGTACATGCAGACATATATAATAATACTTAGAACAGCAACAAAGAGAAAATGTCAATGAATACGTGTACTGCCGTGTTATCAGCGTTTTATATTTTATATTTATTATGTGGAACAACAGCGTTTCAAGTTAAGGTAAGTATGTAGCCGAAATGAATGAAAGACCACAGGTGATATGGCGCGCTTTTGCTATGCAGAAACACATACAATACTTATGTACATATATAATCAAATACAAAAGTACATACATATGTAGGTGGTGTTTTAGAAAGCATTTAAACATGCGTACGATAAGAAAATGCTTTTTGAGTGACAAAATGTTATTCATTAAATACTTAATCCATAAATGGGAATGTAGAAAAATATATTTTTTTTCTTACTTATGCTATTATGTTTCACTCACAGCCCTCCCCACAACCAGAGCCAAATCAACGCTTAAAGGTTGGCGTTTTCTATGAGACGCTTTGTCCGGATAGCAGAGAATTCATACGAAATTCACTTTACGACGCGATGATTATTAACGACTGGCTAAAATATACCGAGCTACAACTAGTACCATATGGAAAAGTCACGGTATGATGGTTATGCACATGCGAGTATACATATATACGTACATACATATGGGTGTATGTGTGTATATTAATAGCTGCATTTATCATTTGCTTTCAAGTATAATCATGTTCCAAGTAAACGCTATTTGTTTGTAAAACTATGCAGACTGCATCTGTTTTAAACAGAAATTTACGTTTTTTTCAATTGTTTCAGACTTGGACAGACCCAACTACGAATGTAACGACACTATTTTGCCAACATGGACGCAGCGAATGTGAATTAAATGCTCTACACGCCTGCATTGTGGAGCACAATGATGTGAATGAGCAGATGAAATTGATAAGCTGTCTATTGACAGGCCATGCAACAAGTCTGGATGAGGCAAGTATCTCCATAAGCCAAAATATAATTACGTATCTAAATATTTCGACGTATTTTTAATAAATTCACCTCGGTTATTTTAAAAGTACCGTTAAAACTATTTTAGTTCAAGCTTTCATATACTAAATACTAAGCGATTTTAATATAATTTATTAAATATTTTTTCTATGCCAGTGTGCTAAAAATTTGATTATTAATGTGAGCGCTGTGAAGCAATGTAAATCTACGCGTAGCACTCCAGACATATTAAAAAGGTATGGGGAAATGACGGACGCGCTGGACATATCTTTTGTGCCATCAGTAACCTTCGATGATGTAAAATATTAAAATTAATGCTATTATATTTAAAAATTTATATAATTTTCACTTTTATTTACAGAAATTTAACCGTTGGCGTCAACGTTACTTCATATATAACTTCCCCGTAATATTTTGCCGCGAGTACAACAACAAATTTAATATTACCTTGCCGCAGTGTTAATAAAAGGTATTTTTGATGTTTGAATATTTATAAAATATAATAAAATAAAGCAATTATTATAAGACATTAAGTTACATTTCTTCAGCGATAAATGCTTGCTAATCACTCTTTTTAACTTCCCGCTAAGAAAATGGAAAATTTTCTAAAAATCGGGAAGATATTGGTTTCACCCCATTTTGCAAAAATCGAGTTCTCAACAGATCTCGACGTTCTGAGGGTCGAGGAAGCTTCCCCGAACATTTCTACGATGATGTCCGTATGTCTGTATGTATGTGTGGATGTATGTGTGTGTGTGTGGATGTATGTGACCCTTTTATAACTATTAAACTGCTCAACCGATTTGAATAAACTAAACGGCATTCCAAAGGGTTTCATTGCACTTGAATTTCTCGTAAGTATGGACCCAATCGGACCAGTAGATTTCGAGAAATCTCAAAAGTCAAAAAAAAATTTTTCCAAACGACTTGACCGATCGACACCAAAAACTAATCAGTTCTAAACCTTGAAGAAACACATCGTTTGCCGCAAACCGGGTC